ATCATCTCTGGATTGAAAAAAAGTTATTCCTGCTCTGAACGCCACTCTTGTTAACCTAACAAGGCTGAAAAGCAAACCTCAAAAGGATCAAACTGTTTCCAAGGTAACTGTGTCAGTTATTAGAATCATGGTTGGTTCTAAGGAAAAAATACCACTTTTTTCTGTCCAATGAAAAAAGTTATTTTTTTCTGATTATATAAATAATAAAAGGTCATGGAAATTCTCAACAGCCACTAAGACTCCTCATGAGTTCAAACTAGGCCTACTGGGGTTGCCCTAAGGAGAGCAGTCTGTTCCATTGCTACCTGTCCAAGGACTTTGGGCCTCTCTCTTTAGAGCAGGGATTTCCCACCTGTCGGCCACAAACCAAAGGCCCTTCCTCATCTCATTTCATCGTCACAGTCTCCCTCTGAGGTAGGGGAAGGGCCATTCCATTTTTCAGATGAGAAAATTCGTGTTTTGAAATATTCATAAATGTGCCCAAGGTTTCATAGCTGACATTTGGTGGAGCCAGGATTCCCACCACATAAACTCGTATCAAACGTTAGGACCATTATTCTAGAGAATGCGGTACCTTTGTTTGCAGAGTCACTGAGTCTCAGGATGACATGAGGCTTCAGTCAGGGGCCTTTCCTGAGATTTTAGGAGATAGTGACATGGCAACTCTTTGCCTGACGCTTGGCACTTCATTGTTTCTTTGAAAACAGATTTTAAGAGTCGAGTTCTGATTCATTCAGTAAACATTTTTATTATCAGCTACAATGGACATACAAAAAAGGTATGCAATTATTCTTTCCATGCCTTTCTACAACTGCAGATAGGATTGATCTAATCTGGGCATTCTTTGTTGAACTTCTCTGCTAAAGCATGCGGTGCCTCCTTTGTGAATCTCTTGGCTGGCAGACACTAAGCCACTTTGGAAGTGGGGGAGGCTGCTTACGGTAGATAGTGTGGATTCACAGTCCACAGAGACAGGGCCTTTGTGCACTCAGGAGCCTGTGCCAGAGCAGCAGAGATTACACTGTGGACCAGCATAATGTAATGGCCCAGACTTGGTGTCCTAAAGTTTAAGTCCAGTAGATGCACATAGGGCATGGAGGATGGCACATCTGTCCCTGTCGGTTGTTAGAGCTGAGGCCCTGTGACATGCTGCGCTGCAAAGAGGGCATGACTCCATCAGGCCCGTGACTTGACATATAGGGATGAAGGGCAGGCTGTTCCCGACAGTGTCCTTTCTATAAAACTTGAGTTAAAGAGGTGCTCGTAAATTAGAAGGAATGTGATTCTTTTGCAAGGAAAAATCTGGTCAATGACCTAGAAGCCTGTAGGTTTATGGGAAAGAGAATTTAACTCAGAATTTGAATTATCATAGTATTGGTATCCTCATTTAACATCATAATCTTTTAGAGACTAGCGCACATCTGTATGTTTGGATAAATGCAGAGTCATAGCCAAATGAGCTTGTTTCGAGAGTTTCTCCTTTCTATGAGTAGATGAATTCTGTTCTATCTTAGGGTAGACCCAGCCCTATCACTGGTTAGAGAGATGAAAACCTAGCCAGGTGAGGGATATGTCTAGGCCAGAGTGGAGTTTCTAAAGATCAGTGGTGATGGTAAGGAAATGGCACTTGCAGAACTAAGCAGGATGTGACCTGAAGCCAGAAGACTTTGAGAACTTTTCACCTGGAGTCAAGGGCGGACTCACGAGAGCTAATGGCACCCAGAGATCAGGATGTAGGCCAGAGCTGGAAGAAACTGATGATCTCAAACACACCTGCCTGTAGGGCCATCCTAAACCTCTGTCACTTCAGACTAAATATCTTGATTCAGCATCCTGTTTCATTTCATATGCCTGTGCTCACCGTGCTTCACCTGCACTCACTTCTTTCTGTTCTGCCAGCTTGCCAGGCTCATTCCTACCTCAGGGCCTTTGCACATGCTACTCTAGCTACCTAGAATGCCTCCCCTTCCCCATCCCATATTTATATGATTGGTTTATTTTCAGTTAGGTCTCAATCAAATATCACTTTTGTCTATCCTGTTTGAAGCACCCCTCAGCCAGTCACTCTCTGTTACATTACCCTATTTTAGTGTCTTTACAGCACATATCACTTGCTGAAATAATCTTGTTTTTGGTTGACTTATTTAGAGTCTAAGTCTTCCAACTGGAATGTAAGCACTCTTAAGAGTAGGTCCTTTTTCTGTTTAATTGGTCATTACATCCTCAGGGCTTAGAATATCATCAGGTTCATTGCCAGGGTTCAATAAATGTCTGTCCGGTGAGTGAGTGAATGAGTGGAGGAGGAATGCATGAAGTCAGACATAATTGGAGAAAGAGAACCAAGTCTTATATATCAGCCAAACAATCTGTAATTAAATGTTGGTTACTAACTTGAGCATAAGGAGTCTGTTTTGGTATATGTGTGTGTGTTTCTAAGCTTTCTGTTGTGTTTTAAGTGCCTGACATTGACTAAGGGCTTAATAAATACTTGTTAGATAAAAATATAAAGAAAGATCACTTTTACAAATTCTACTCTTGTTTCAATGAATTAAATCGGTCCCTTGCAGATTAGGTAATCCAGGTGTCTCATGGGGTGACAAGTCATACCCACAAGAAAGCTGAGGGATCCTCAACTTTTGAGTCACCTTTTGAGTTAAAAGACATTGAATTTATTAGTAAATCATTTTTTAAAAGTAAACCTTGAGTTGATATAGAAGTAAAACAAAAATCAGCATGTGTTGAAATGGTTATTATTTTTAACTTAGTATTTTTATAACTCAGCCAAAAGGCAAGCTTTTAAATTCTCATGGGCAAATCCTAGCTGATATGTTGTATTGGTTGGTATTCATTTACAGATGAGCCAGGCTTCAATGTGCAGCCTTTGATGTAATGAATGGGAGCTGTAGTTAGCCCAGGATTGGACTGTGAACTTCCTTGATCATAGCTGAGACCAAAGGCTCGTAGCTGCAGTGCTGCGCAGCTGGGGCACACTTGACAATGATGTGAACTTTCTGGGCTTCAGTCTCCTCTCTGGAAAATGAGGAGGTTGAAAAGATAATGGGTTAAAATGAACAACCCCATTGCTGTATTCTTGTCTTTGTTACTTATGTCCAGTCCCAATCCATGTACACACTGTGGTTATCAGAAGCTATTTGTTAATACACTTTATATTTTGACAACAGACTTGCAAAATGGATACAATTTAGGCCATCCCCTCCTTTCGCCATCTCCCATATCATTCTCCCATTACTAGCTTTTTAGAATCCTCTTTTATTTCTTTCACAGTTATCTAAGATTTTTCTTCCCTTGGTTGAGGTAGTGTGCGTATGCCTGGGAGAGATGATTTATTTAGTCTACAGGTGGTGCCCAGGAGTCTGGGAGTCCTGCAAATGCCTCTGAGGATCCTTAGATACCATTTTATAAAATGTGCCCACCCTGCTGTCCATCCTGGTGATCTTCCTGAAGTGCTCAGGGAATGGTCAGCCAGTGGACACATAGAGATTATACTTTGAGGACAGCAAACTAAGTTTTGTTTTTTCTTCTTGCTAAGGCAATATTTACCCTGAAGGAAAAGAAGGCTTCTGCTTTCATGGCAGGCATTAAAAAAAAAAAATTAAGCACTTTAAATGTTGCTAAATGTTAAAGAATTAAACCAAATCATTCTCAATTATTTTTTTAAATTTTTGCTTCATAGTCATACAATTCTTTAACGTGTTATATGTCAGCTAGTTAGTGTATCACCATCTCTCCTGCATTCTGTGTTTAGAGTACGTTATTCACATTTTATAGATGGATCAGAATCTCACCATCTTGTATGATAAAACTTCATAGTTATATGCTTGCTTCTTTGAAATATAGATATTCATAACAGATATAAGGTATCAAGGCCTTATTGAGAAAGCAACTGTGTATTTTACATTTCCCTCCCCCCTACTTATTGTCCTTTTGTCAGCTCAATAGTTATAATTACATAAGAAAATACAAAAAAGCTCAGTGAAGAATATCTTTAAAAAATCATTTTTATCTCTGCCATCAGAAAATAACCCATATGAACTTCAAAGATCATACTCTACATGCTATTTTACAATCTTTTCTTTATATAAAATATGAATAATATATTTTCATTTAATGAAAGGTTCTTCTCAACATGATTTTTAATAATCGCATATTTCATCCTGGAGCTGTCCATAGCATAACCCCCAATTACCAGAGCAGGATAGGTAGGTAAGAGAATAGGGTCTGAAGCTGACATCCTGCCTTTTACTAGCTGTGACCATGGCCACATTATGTACTCATTCCATTCCTCAGTTTCCTCACCTATAAAATGGGGATAGCAATATTACCAGCTTCGCATCTTCAATGCGAAGATGAAGTCATTATACATGGTACTTAAAATGCTTAGAGCACTTACAATAATGCTGTCATATGTTCTTTTATTAGAGCATTATTCTCTAAATTGCTTTAGTCTAATAGAATAATTGCCTGGTAAGCACTCAACAAACATTTATTGCTATCTATATTGTCTTCAGCTTTTTGATGGTATAATACTGTGATACCTTTGAGGAGAAAAGCTTTTGCTCTTCTCATATTATTTCCTAAAGACAAAATTTTAGAAGTAGTACTACATCTTTGATGCTTACTGCTCTGTCACCCTCCACAGAGCGGGTACTGATGTACTCTCGACAGCACTGTGAGAGGTAAAGCAACTGCTCCATGCTGAGTGGTGTTTCTGGGACTGCGCTGTGGTGGGGAATAGCAGCTGCCCATGTGAGGATTTTTGCAGTTCTCCAAAGTCATTGAATATTGAGCAACTGGGATTTATTCAACCTACTCTTTCTTTTCAATATTGATATAGTCTCAGGCAAAGATATTAAAAGATATTCATTTTTGTGTGTGCTTAGTGTATTAGACTGATTTTTGCTTGAGAAGTTATTTGCGAAAATTTGAGTCCATTGTTAAGATGTTTTCCCCCACTGAAACAAATATTTTCTATTTTCAAGAAAAATACAAGAAGCCATGGGAGCAGTCAACCCTCCAGAACCCACGCTGGTGGAACAGCCCCTGCCACCAAGGTCAGTCATTCCCTGAACACGAAAAGACCCCTACTCTAAGGTGTATCATTAATGGGTGGGGCCTATAGGAAAGGTAAACAGCGTCCATATATCACTGAAAGTTTTTGAGCAAAGTATCATTTCTGTACTGGGGGTAAGGGGGATTCAATTTCTTTCTTTCTTTCTTTCTTTCTTTCTTTCTTTCTTTCTTTCTTTCTTTCTTTCTTTCTTTTTTTTTCGTCTGTGTGAACAACTTCTGTGTATTGGTTAGAATCGGTTCAGCTGTACATAAGATACCCAGATAAGTGGCTTAAATAATGCAGAGGTCTCTCACATAAAACAAGAGTAGAATCTAGGTGAATCAGAGCAGGGATGGCGAGTGAGTCTGTGTTATTGTGGATACCTTCTGTCTTTCTGCTCCACCATCCTAGCCTTGGCTTTCATCCTTAAAATAACCTCATGGTCCAAATTGACTGAAAGGATATATTCTTGCTCACGCTGATTGCAAAGAAAGCCAAGAGTTGTAGTCTTTAGCTGGTTCCATTGCTGTTCTTGCAATTCCTGTGCTCGCACATCTGTTCTTCCATCCCAGGGAGACATCCAATCAAGGCCTTTGATCCTTTTAGTCCTTCCTCCCCCACTTATAAAATGTTATATCGGTTTTAGTTCTTAAAGAGCCAGACGTCAAGATGAAATTAGGTGTACAAGAGGTTTCCTGAGGGAATGCCAAGAAGAGGTAACAGCAGGATTGTAAAACAGCACAGTGGGGACCCAGATCTACAAGGGGTTTGGTAGGGCTGGAGCAAAATGTATGAGGTAGGGAAGCTTTGTGATGTAGGCCAGGACCAGGGATGCAATTTCTTAATAACGATTTGAATGATTTAAAACGTAGTAAAACCATTTATGTTATTTTTACTGGCATGTAATAATGTGTCCAATAAATATTATTTTCCTAAATATCTATAAATAATACTGGATTTTGCCCGTACCCTGGGTAGAAATATAATCCTCCCACTTCTTCAGAAAATAATTCAAATTATCTTACTGAGCATTAACCACGCCAGGCTCTGCTAAGCCTGCTATGTAATTATTTTATGTAATCCCCTTAACAACCTTATAATTATTATTCCTTTGTATCGGAGGAAACCAGGGCTCAGAGAGGTTAAGTAACCTTAGCAAGACTACAAAGCCAGTAAGATGCAGGTAGTGTTTGAGCGCAGTGTCCTGTTCACACCAGGTCCTCGACATGCTGGACCTCATAAGCTCTGACTGAGCATTCTTTGGTAATAGAACACTTCAAAGCCTTGCCGCTTGAAAAAAATCACTGAGATGTCACCTTTAAAGACAAGACACTACGATTTTAACTAGTAGTTTTTAATATATTAAATAGTTATGTTCAGCCGATTTGTACTTGTGTTCTTCCAGTATGTCCATGATTATCAAAAACCTTAATCTATTTCAGGAATGTCTGTACAACTATTTTAAATAAGCATTTTTTTTTTCTTTAAAATTGGTGGTTCTCCTAAGGAGATCTGTGTGCTTTCTCACACAAGTTTCTTGTTTGGTGAAGAGTTAATATTTTCTTGCCTCCCAGAGGCTTGGCTGCTCTCTAAACCCCCAAAAGGTGTGAAAACCAAAACTCATCTGAGACATGAGAAGGGGCTAGGCACAAGGTTGAGCGCCATTCTAACTAAAAAAGATTTTTCCAAACATATTCTGTCTTTTATGATATTAGGACCTTTATTTAACTTATCTTTACATTATACCTCTAAAAATGAGAAGCCTCATTGGCAAAACACAACCCAGTGAGATTTAGTGAATCATTTGTAAATGACTTCCAGAATTGTTAGTACGAAAACTGTTGGAAGGTTTGTACGTTGTGGAAAATCACACTCAGGTTTTTTTCTTGAACTTAGTCATAAGAAGCAGTCCCTTTTCCGTCTTTTTTTTTTTTTCATGCAAGAAGTTATCTTCCAATCATTCTGAGTTGGAATGGTTATAAAGGATTTGGATGTATCCCCCAAAGCCTGCTGTGTCCCAGGAAGCTGGGAGAGGAGCATAGCTGGGAGGTGGAGACATTTTAGCCACATGTTTATTATTTTAGTGTTTAATGGCAAACTTGACATTCTCTCCTTGGCTTCTAAAACCTTGTCCTCTCCTACATCCATTCTTCTCTTGCCTGGTGCTCTTTCTTCTCTGGTTACCTGGCTCACTTTCCTTCACCAGTTTCCTGAATATTAGTTTTCCCAGGATTTAATTCCTCACTCTTTCCTTTCTCGTTTCTTTAACTCTTACAGTATTGGAAGAAAAAGGAAAAAATAAAAAAAAAAAAAAAAAATATATATATATATATATATATATATATATATATATATATAGAGAGAGAGAGAGAGAGAGAGAGAGAGAGAGAGAGAGAATACTTGCTTATGTCTTCTTTTAATGCCAGATTGAAAGGGCTTAAATCAGTACCATCATTCCCATGCTTATTTAGAAAAGCTGGGGGTGAATAGCATTTGTGATCGCTTGAAGCCTTTTATTACACAAGTAATTATCATAACACACACAGGCAAAATATTATCTCAACACATTCAGGGAAGGCATGACAAAATAGTAGATATAATTGGCTGTGAGAATTAGTCCTGGTTTTCTTGATCTGGACACATTCAACGTGAAAGTTAAAATAAATGATAATTTTAACAATTATTAAGAAAACGAAGTGTGTTTTAAATATTAAATCCAGAGCTTATGCATAATTAGAAAAGTTACCTTGTTTTGCAGAACTGTTCTTGCAAAATGAGTAATTATGTACACAAATAATATCACTTCTGCCATGAAGTGCTGGTCTTGGAAGATTGAAACCTTTTAAGTGGCATAGATATGTCTAACTCAGAACAATTACTGTAAAACATTTAGTGCTTAAAATTCATGTTATGATAAATTCATAAGGAGAGCTAGTGAGGTTGCAGAAATTATATAGATTCTTATTAAATCCAATGTGAACATAGTTGTGATTCATAAATCAGTCATGCAATTTTACGGCTGGAAGAATTGTCAGGCAACTTCTGTTTTAGTTACTTCCTTATTCAGGTGAGGAAAGCAAAGTTGAACCTACATTAGGAATCTCACTGTAGAAGATCACAGCTATTAAGAAGATGTATCGGTTGAGGTTATTACTGTAGATCTGATTGGAATCCACTCTGACTAGTTCAAGCCAAAAAGGAATTTCTTAAGGCTAGCAGGTAGCTCGTAGAGGAACCCAGAAGGAATCTAAGGTTTCACAGCCAGAAACATTGCCCAGCCACCCTGTGGAAGGTTCTCCTGCTGCCACCACAGCTCAGCTTCTATCACATCCAGGACCAGACGGCAGGAACTCTGCCACAGCCAATCTTGAAGACTAATAAGGTTTATCATAACACAGACTTGCCAGTAGGGCGCAGCCTCCTCACACTGCTCACTTCCAAGCTCTTTCTCTTTTGGCATATCTGATTGGCCGATACGAGTCACGTGCCTCCACCTTGCTACAAGGCAGCCTGCGGTTTTGAGTGTTCTGTATTCTACTTTGGGAAGGCACGTATTGATTAGGTGGAAAATTATCAATATGTAGTGAGGGTTTGCAAATGTGTGATACTGAGTTAAAGATACCCACTACAGAAAGGCAAACAAGGGAGTTACGTAGTTGAACTGAAGGGAAATCATTGATGATAGGCCTTCTAAACAGAGAAAGGTACAAACGGCTTTTCTCCCAGCTAGAGGGGAGATGTGTGAAGGAATAAGCACCATCAAAATATATTTTGTGATTTTGTTCCTGGTTCTGCCATAAATAGCTGTGATAATTTAGCAACACAGCTCTTCTCTCAGTTGCTTACTTTTCTCATCTGTAATGTGATTGAGGGGCTAGGTAAAGTCTTTGTGTATTGTGGAGGGTATTCCTGTATTCAGTGTCAGCCTCACCCCACAGTGTCCTTGGACCACCTGTGGTCTGTGAGATGACTGTGTGTTAAACAGGTACGCATTTTTATTTTAATAATTATGCATATATTTTAATGTACTTCAGAAAGAGGAGTGGCACTTCAAACTCATGATCCCATGAATAGTTTTGCTTAAGACAAGGCTAAATTAAAGGTTAAAAAGTAAATCTATTTTTTAAAATATTAAGTAATATAGTATGCTTATTGCAGATTAAAAAATATATTCTAGATAATATGCAAATAACCAGAGTTTGGGAAACAAGTTCCAGAGCAGTAATTCTCATATTTTAACGTGCATATTGAATCCATGAGGTTTTTATTAAAATGAAGATCCTGATTCAGGGAGTCTGGGGTGAGGCTGAGATTCCACTTTTCTAACGAGCTCCCAGTTGATGCTGCTGATCTGGCGACCATACTTCGAGGTGCAAGCATGCTGAATTGTGCAGAAAGTGGGTAGTTTCAACTACCTGTACCTTAGGTTACCTAACCCATGATTGGAGCATCTGGTTAAATGCAGGTTCTCAGGTTCCAAGCCAGGACATTCTGATTCACCAGCCTTGGGTAAGGCCCCACATTTTATATGTTTAATAGGTACCCCAGGTGTTTCAGACGCAGATGACATGAGGACCACATTGGGAGAAAGGATGAGCCTCAGAAACTGGATAGCCACAGACTACCAGGATGCTCTAGTGTCCCTCTTTGTCTCTTAGGAAAGAAGCTACTTCCTGTCTTACAGGATATGAAGCTTTGGAGAACTTATTACTTTAACATGTAATTACTCATCTGTACTCTTCAGGAGCACAGTAATACTCGCCTTCCTTGAGGGAGATGCACTGCCTAACACGGGGGACTGTGGGACCCAGGGCTCATCCCTATTGCGGTGTGACCCAAATAAATCGCCCTGTGCTGTTTTTGTCACAGGGAGAAATGCATCATCAGTGAAATCTACAATAGATGAGCGGAGATTTAGTTTAAAAAAAAAAAGAAGACAGAAAATAATGATAAATAAAAAAGGAGCGTTTAAGCTATATTTTGATCCAGAAGAGTTACAAG